AGTTGAACTTGAGTTTCTAATCTCTCACTAAAATCACAAAGAAATAATTAAAGCAGGACAAGAACTGTCTAGTGATCTTGTAGCAAAGGTAAAAACCAGATTCTCCCACTTGCAGAGATGTTAGTTCATAGAATTTTAGGGTAAGTGCATAGAAAACAATGATCTGGTAATTGGAAATAGCAAGTTCTGGAGTCCCGGAAATCTGCTGCCATGACAGAAGGACGAAATGGCAGAGCATGGATGTCCAGGAAGGAGCATGCGAACCAAATGAGGCCACCTAGAAAGGCCATCTCAGCATGACTGGCCCCACAGTGCATAAAAGCCAAGCCCTGCCGAATGAATGTGTTATTCTGGAGGCTTCAAACACAGACAGGGCTCACAAATGAGTTATCTAAAGACCTACCTTGAGAATTCTGAGCAGAAAACCAACTGGCTATATGGTTAGGTATGTGCAACATGTGCCCATGCTTCTGGGACCATTTCTACCCTTCAGAAGACAGAGGCCACCCGGGCAGCCATGTTTAAGGTCCTACGGCTACAAAGCTTCCCCTGTGGATGTGTAGAACATGGCAGGATTGGACAATGCTACACCATTCTCCTTAAGTAGTTACCCTTGAGAAGCTACTCTTAATATACTAGTTAAATGAATTGCTAACACACTCTTCAGGAGTTCAATCTTCACTCTGCAAGATGTTCTCAAGAGTTGTTGGAAAGGTTGAGATGGTCAATGTGAAATAATCAGAACAGCCCTTGATGTTCTAAAGGGCTCAATGAATGTCACTGCAATTGTGTGTGTGGGCACTAAAGTTTTCCACCCAGCAGAGCATGTTACAACCCCACTCTCTTCCTGAACTCTTTTATTCCTTTGCAGTGAGTCCTGATATGATGTGACAAAGTGAGCCTTGATGCTTTGTAGCCTAGAACGCAAAACAATCCTCTTGCCTCAGCATCTGAGTCTTAGGATTATCAGCACACTCCACCAAAGCCAGTGTCCTCCAACTTCTGAACTATAAGCAATTTGATGTGTAAACGACTGCTACCTTCTCTATTTTTTTTTCCTTCCATTTATTCTGTGCTCTCAAAGTAGAAATGCGATTTCAAGGGTATCGGGAAGTATGGTTATTTGTTTGCCAATGGCTCCTCAGTTTCCTGCCATTCTCGCTTGCCAATAACCATCACTGTTATCACCAATGCAAACGTTCTTCTATTCCAAGTTGCTGCTTGTTGCTTTTGGTTACTTTGACCGACCCACTCACTGCCCGCATCCCTTTTGTATCGTGCATTAAAAAAAAAAAATCCCTGATTCTTCTCAGCAGCAATTCTCTCTTCCTGTTAAAGCATTACTTAGATTTAGCTCTGGGTTTGTGTTTATTTTCCCTTCTTTTCTGTGGTTTTGGTCATCGGGTTATTAGAATTTTTGTTGGTTAAAAAGATTGAAGATGTATTTTATTATGTACACTAAACATTAATCAGACTTCACTTACATGTGCACATATATAGGAATATAGATCGCATAAACTATATTACACATACAAACATACATTCACATCCCTTACCCCTTTGGAAAATGAGACAGGTGATGCTTCCTAAGCTGGAATCATCACAGAATTTGGATGATGATGATGATGATGATGATGATGATAATAATAATAATAATAATAATAAATACTGATCACTGGATTTCTATCACAGAAAAAGTAGTGAGTATGAAATCACCACAGGATGTCTCACAATAAACTCCAAGTGAGTCAGAGTCATTTATACATAAAATCTTAACGCTGCCTCACTTTGTGCCCATGGGTACCGTCTCTTCTGTGTCTGAGATAAGGAATGGAGGCAGCTGGTAGGGACCACGCCACGAGCAGCTGCCTCGCTGCAGAGCCACCAGGGTCGAAGCTCGAGCATCTTTACTCTACCCTCTAAGTCTGAATGTGCTGGGAGAGGTGATGAGCAGTTGTTCTCTTCCAGTATGTCAGCATGCACTACACTTCAGCTTGCTCGGGTCATCTAAATTACTGAATGGTTGTACCCAGAGAGCGGCTAACTCTGAGTACCCCCTCTCACGTTTTAAAGACTGAAAAGTTCCTCCTGGGGAAAAAAAAAATATCGTAGATTGCCAAACTACCTTCTGACCCATCGTCTAGCTGGGAGATACATTTTGTTCCATGTGGGAATTAAACCTGGGGTCTTGCACACACTGGGCAAGCATCGGGTCTATACCATAACCCAAGAAGAAATTAAGCAAAGGAGTGGTATTATTCATTATAAATTAAGACAATTTGAGAAATTTTTGAAGTTATTTTATAGATGGCAAAAAACAAAAACTTTAAGACATGTACTGAGGACTGGACAGAAGACTCAGTGATTGAGAGTGATCACTCCTCTTGGAGATGACTAGAGTTCAGTTCCCGGCACCCATGTTCAGAGCTCCAACCACCTGTAAACCCAGCTGGACTCCATAGGTACCCTACACATATATATGTGCATACCACCACACAGGCATTATGGCCTCCACATATATACATACATAACCTCACACAGATATTACCCCCCCCACACACACACAGGCATACATATCCTCACACAGGCATTACCCCTACACACATACTTACATCCTTCACACAGACATTAGTCCCCTCCACATACATACATACAAACCATCATACAGGCATGACCCTCACACACACATACACACATACTTTCACAGAGTTATACACCTAGGCACATAAATCACTTTTTAATCTTAAAAAAAATGTATTGAGAAGATACTTCAGCTACATGATTTTATTTTGACATACAGCCTTACCATGTAACCCAGGCTAGCCTCAGACCTGTCAGGTAGCTAGGCTAGTCCTGAATTCCTATCCTCAGACTGCCTCAGCCCGACAGGTGCTGGGCAAACAGGCATGTGCCACCAGAACAAGCAAAACATGCATACATATACAACAAAATATTTTTTTAAAGAAACATTTGTCTCAACATAGATTTTGCTAGAAGCCTACATTGGCTCTTCCTGCTCAGAAGCATTTCTTCTGTCTCCTCTCCTTTGGCATTGCTCTAGTAGGCTCAGAGGCCTGATAGGCAATGGGGCCCCATAGTATCCTTCACTATCCCCCATAGTCTGGAGGCATCTACAGTGGCTTAATGGATTTGGTTGTCTCTCTCTTTGACAAGATCCTATGAACAAATAGATCTTTGCTACATGGTGTCTTCCATTGCTTCAAGTCTGCGAAACTCATCAATGAAGAATCTCCATCGGCTCTTGTTTTTCCTACGTCTCTACTCAATTGAAATTCAGTATGTGTAAAACCTGTTCCAAGATAGCTTAAAAGGTTCGGAGTCTAGCATATAAGTAGCTTCCTTCTACCAATAAATCCTGTCTGCTGTAAGACTGTTTTATTCTGTAGCCATTAAACATATCAAAACTTTGCAAATCAAGCCTTCTTTATACCAAGTGCAAAAACAAATGTGAAAAATTACTGGATCTTGACCAATAGAATTTTAACTTGATATATGGCAAAAACGAAACAAAAAGTCATAAACCAAAAATGTGCTTATTAAGTTATATAAAAACACTAAGAACCCCAATATAGCAAACAATTGAAGGACTATGAATAATACCAGTGAGAAGAAAACAATTTAGCTCTTTAGCTTTAAAGAATACATGTCAAAATTTCAAAGTTACTACCAAACGCCAACATATGCAGTTCCCTATAATGCATCCTTACACATTGAAATACATAAAACATTCTTAGAAAGCATAAAATTTGCCTAGAAATCTGACCCCTGCATTTGTCAAGCTAAATAATTGCAAATACAGATAAGATATGCATAGCATTGTTATAAGTGCCCAACATCAAACAGGGGAGTAGCTAAAGACCCTAAACACCCCTGAATGCCAGGCAGCATTATAATGATGTTTTAAAAAATAAATTATTGATGTAAAAGGATGTTTAAAATATATTCCTTACTTAAAATAGACACATGATAAAACAATATTGTGCAGTATAATTGCTTATGGTGTAAGTATATAGGAAAGAATGGTAAGAATTGTATGGAATGTATGATTGAAATTATTTTTGAGCTTCTCTATGTTTTCTAATTTATCCTCAACAAACAACACACTGACCCCATAATAAACATAAAAAATGAAACCTATAAAAAGAATCCTTTCAGCTAGGAAGCAGGACTGAGGAGTTGGTTCAACTGTTTTGCATTTTAGTGTGTAAAGCTGATGTTTGGTAGGCTAAAAAAGTTCTAGAAAAATATTTAATTATGTGAAACTTACTCTCCAGAACTTTACAAATGCATTTGCTTGATAACAATCTGCTAATTACAGGTGCTAATTATAGGTGGTAGCTGTGTAGTTGAAAACCGGCTCTGATGACCCCCCCACTCTGAGCTGTCAATGCATCTGAATGGCACTGATGTCATGTTTCATGTTTTGTCTGTAGTTTTGGTCCTTGGAAGGGTTATCCTGAGGCTCTGTGGGGTAGCTACAGCTGGCTCTGTATAAATTTGATTTGGTCTTTGGTAAATCATTGAGACAACACACATCACATACTCTATTTGTGAAGCAAAGTGCCCTGTCACCCAACACCACCTATCACTAAAACGGAGAAGCCAAACACCCCTCTAGGAAAGTTAGCTTTCTACATCTGGGGCTCCTGCACAGCACACTAGTCTCTTATGTGGCTGATTTCGCTTGCTTTTTGTTCTCTTTTTTTTAACTGGCAGCAGAAACTTGAGCATTAAAAATACAACCAGAACATTTGAAATGTCACCTTTATACATCGCTCCATCTATTTCCTTTGCATAAATATGGATATCCTGATCCATAGGGCAGCAGGGGGAGGATCTAACTTGAGATGTGTCATTGTCCTGCCTCTGGGCCCATTCCACTGGCCTCATCAGCTTGTAGTTATGAGAACATCACATTTGCTTCAGAAATTAGCAGCCAACAGTTGGAGGAAAGCAGCAAAGAGAGGCTGTATACAGACCTTGCATCTGGTAGCTGTACGGTGCCTGTCCAGGTTGAGGGGTACCAAAGCTTGTGCCATAGCTGAGAAATCCCGTCTGTCCAGGTGACTGAGACTGTGACAAGCCACCTTCCGTCTTGATGCCTGCCCACAATGCACCTAAATCAGTTAATGACAGCTGATCTATCTGTTCGTTTTCAGAAGCTGGTGAATATAGACAAACCCACACTCCCACAAGTGCCCAGTCACAACTGTTCCCCGACTCGTCTGCAGGAGCACAGGGTGTGAATGCTTACAGCTGAATGCCATTCACCACAAGCTCAAACTTTCCTTTAAAAAGTCTAGACTTGAATATTTATTCACACGATTCTCTCTGATTTTCCTTCATTCCACTTTCTAGTGTAACTCTAGAGGTATTGTTTCCATAATTCATTTTGTTATTTTACTAGAGTAGGTCACCCTGTCATAGTGAGACATAATCATAATAAAAGATAAGACACACTGTTCCCAAGTCATTAGGTCTTCTTTTCCTTGAGACCCCATTTCTCAGAGTCTCTAGGGTTTTCATCCTTTTCCCAACTCTGATGCTGGTGCACAGGACACTCTGAAGTCAAAGGAAGCAATCCAAGCTACAAACAAGTGGGGAACGCCTAGATCAAACCCATCAGAACCAAATGCTCCTTTCTCTAAGGACCTGTGATCCCAAGATTTCTACACAGAATGGTGAACATAAGGAAAAGAGGAAAACAAACAGGCATAGGGTTTCATAGTGAGAATAACAGAGAGAATTGAAAATAATCTGTTACAGGTTAGACTAGACCCATCACCCATCTGTTCATAAGTTTCTAGGAAAATGAGTTTTCTGATTCTTTCTTTTCTTTTCCTGGGGGTTCTAGATCTTTCTGGAAAGGCATCATTAAGAAAGTAGAATGTCAAGCAACCGAACCTCTAAAACAGCAGAGTGATCTAGACATTCGTGGAAGGAGCCAGTAGCGTGCTGTCTGTCCTTACTTGTTTTCAAGTATTCAAATGCAGACTAAAGTACATTTGAAGTTATATTATCATGCAAATACAAGTTTATGTTTTATACGATTCCAGAAAATCATTCACGGTCCTCAATTACTTCCCAAGTCACCAGGCTGGTACACTATTCCAGACTTGGACATGGAAACACCGAGGTAGGTCACTGCTCTCAGCTGAAGTTAAAGGCAGTCATAAAACTGACCCCCACTCTCACACAGGGAAGACAGAAACATTACTGCCAAGAGAGTTCACATTTTTCAATAATAATCTTGGTTTACACTGAAGATAAATTATATCTTTGGGATCTAGGATACACAGTAGTCTTGCTGTTTATTTCCATTTTAGGGGAATTTCGTGGGTAGAGTGAACTTAGGTAACTATCCTAAGGCAGCAGAAGAATCTGATTTGGCTGAGAGACCCTACTTTAACTTCTTGGGTATTTCTGAATAGTCCACAGTGACCGTAACATTGAAAATTCCGTACAATCTTAACATGTCAAAACAAATGTGACCTGCTATGTACAGGTAATCTCACCAACGAACAATTCCAACCTGTACATGATTCCTGGAAACTTACCTGCCCTAGACAGGTGGCTGGACAGTTCTAGAAACTCCCTTTATTTCCATGCGCCACCAGTAGGGACTTTCCCCTTCTTTCTCCACCCACCCAGGGGCATCCTGTCTCCCTCCCACCCTCCCCTCAGAAGCTCAGGATGGAGAATTGCTGTGAGGAAGCAAGAAGAGATGGAAAACACCAGGAGCCACCCCTCCCCCTCCCCCAACCTCTACCCAGGGGCAGAAAGCTCATTTTCTTAGAAACCTGTGGGCAGATGAGTGATGGCTCTAATCTAAGCTGTAATAAATTTGCTGTTCAGCCTCTCTGCTATTCTCACTATGAAAATCTATGCCCATCCTTTCTTCCCCCCTCACTTTTCTTTACTTTCACAGTTCTATGTAGAAATCTTGGGGTCACAGGCCCTTAGAGAAAGTGACATTTAGCTCTGGTGGTTTTGAGATAAAACTACAGAAGCTGGAGTTACATGTAAGTTAGACTTTACTTCCATGTGTTGTTAGAATGAACTAATAGAGTCAAATGAGGTCAAGAGACAGCAGTAAATGGAAGAAAGTTGCAAAGCTTCTACTAGGTGGTTGATAAACAGAACAGCCATGTTTTCAGGGTTTGCTGGCAAGTAGACAACACAGAAACTATATCAACAAATGACTAATGCAACAGCTGCCAAAATGATATCACCTTCAGAAGGACCTAGTCCAGTCTTTTACTACAAACACTCATATACGTTTTTCTCTACCATTCTCCGTTCTTTCCTTAATAAAATGCCCCGTATTAGTCTGCCCAATTTAATTGGTTGGAAAATTGCAATCACAACTCAAATGGAAGAAAATGTATTTTGAAATTTGTAGTCTTTTGTAAATAGAACTTTGGGATTTGGCTGGATTTATTTTTAATTTACAGGTACTGACCCCGTCGCAATTGAGTTAAATTACACCAAGATAAAGATAATCTCCAGGTGGGAAGGAACAAATAGCTTGTGAGCTTTGAATGCTTCCTGATCTGCGTCTTCAAAGTGCGGTCCAGGAGGCGATATATAGATCAGCTTTCCTACTGGGTGATAAGGCTGAAATTTGATCGTGTAACTACCCCAAGGTTGAGGGCAACAGTTTGCCGAATTCTGCATGTACTTCCCTAATCATAGCTAGGCATCTGATAAACAGGAAATGGATCTTTACCCCAAAAGACTCCATTCATAGAAGTTTTATCACAAATATGCACAAAAATACTTTGGATTCCAGAGTCAAGTTCTCTGATGCCCAATTCAGATATAAGCAGAGAAAAAGGAGAGCAAGGGGCCTAAGACCCAGGCAGCCTGCTCTCCACCTCTGACCTCAAGTTAAGAGTTCACTGTCTTTACAAAGCTCACTAGCAGGGATTACTCAGAACTGACAGCAGGCAGGCAGGCAACAATTTCTGAAGTAGACCGACAGCACTGGAAGTACTACTCAACAGAATACACCACAAGAATAATGGTCCAATGACTCACCATAGGAGGAAATTCCATAGGGCTGTCCCGGCTGTGGGTACGTGGCGTAGGCTGTGGCTTGTTGCATTCCTGTGGTAAACTGTGTTTGCCCATATGCAGCCATAGTTTGTGAGGAAGGGGTAGGGAGAATATGTGGGTATGGTCTGCTATTTGTCAGGAATGACAGAAAATAGAAAGCCCATGCATTAGATGGAAACATGCAAGGTCAAAATGATCAACTACATTACAAATTCCAGCTAAAGAGTGTATCTTATAGTCCGACTTTCTACTAGCAATTGACAAAGCACTTCAAAGGGCTCCAATGCTATTAGGTAAGTGCTTAAGATAAATTTGCATACATATGTATGTAATTAAAGCCTCTACAAAATTCCCTTTCACTTAAATTACGATGTAACATGGGCACAGACATGACTTGGAACAAAGTAAAGTCTACGCGGAAAAAGTCATGTATTGATTAAGAGAAAATACATCTTACTTGGAAGGATAGAGCTGTGGTGGAGAGAATGGGTGAGCTGGTCTTGGACTAAAGCTGCTGCTCCCGAGAGCTGAGGAAAAAGAAAACACAGTGATGCAAAAGAACTCAAGGAGAGCACTAAACATGACGAGAACATGGGCATGTCACAATCTACAGCATCACCACAGAATGCTGCAGACATTTGACCTCTTTGGCCTACAGGCATGATGATTTCATACGGTCTTCCTGCTAGGAAGTCAAAGAGGGCTGGAGAGATGGCTCACGCAATAAAAGCACTGACTGCTCTTCTGGAGGACCTGGGTTTGATCCCCGGCACCCACCCACGTGTTGACTAACAACCATCTGTAACCTCAGTTTCTAGGGAATCCAATGCCTCATTTTGACCTCTTCAGGCAATGCACACATGTGGTGTACAGGCATGTGCAGGCAACACACCCATACACATAAAATAAAATAAAACTTTTAGAAAGGGGGAACACATAGCCACTGATTGAGTGGTTCTAATTTTAAATAGACTCTTAAAAATCAAAGATACCGCCATAAATACTTTTCAGAGCACTTTGACGGTGAGGAATGCCATTGCCCTCAGGAAAGTCAGGCAGAAACGGAGGTAGGAAACTCAAAGGGCCTCTATGTATGTATGCGTCAGGAACACACAAAGCTCAATCTGAATTAACAAGAAATGTGGCCTAATCTCTGTTGTGAGGGAAATGTCGATTTAACAATGCTGTTTAGTAAAACTGCATTCCTGCAACTATCTTTAATGTCTCAGGTTGCAAGCCTGGCCTATTTGTTCTTTGGCTGCTCTGCATATTCCTGTTCTCTTAGATGTATGTATTCAACTTGGATGCTCAAGCAAACAGCCCCCCCCCCTTTAAGGAAGCAGTTCAGCAATCAAGCAAAACTGAATTTCTTTTCATCAGATTTTCTTGACTCTGGGTGTTTCAGAAATTCACCAGCCTTCTATAAAATGTCCTTTTAACTCTCATTCACATTTTTTAAAAAAAGCAAAAACTCATTTTCAATAGCATAAAGGTTAAAAACATTGGCTTTTGTTACAAGTAGGACCATTTACCTACATATGACAGTATATATTTGTTTATGAATACACATATTTTCCCCTCAAACTTCCCAATCTTTCCCTGGCTAAAATGCACAGTGTTTGGGGGCAACTATTACTGGGTGTAATGTGAGTGTTTTCTTCCTCCATTAGCCCTCGGGATCTTGGAGGCCCTCCCAGTCTCAGTCTCGATATTTCTCCCCCACACTTATGTAAAGTCCCACGCATCAGAGAGTCACATGCTTTCTCATTTGCCATGCAATGCATTTCTGCTTGTCGCACTGCATTTCCAGGTGGGCACTTGCCAGAAGAGTGGGGGATTTTGATTAGAATCTCAGAGGAGACGGCATCTTTCTCTGTTCAGACAAATGAGACCTAATCCAGGGACTGCCCAAAAGGTCTGGGTGCACTCTGGCCTTTCACACTGCCAGAGTGGCATGACTGGTGTCACCTTAGGAGGGACAGAATCCATATGAAAGAGATTGCTACCTGGTTCATGTCCCCCAAGCTCTAGGCACTTACTGAGTAGCTACTTGGTCCCAAGCCTCTTGGCAGATGATACAGGAGCAGTCATGGGGAGATTTGTTAAATGCTTCAGTCTCTGGGAGGCAGGTATTGCTGAGAATACACTTAGACTGTGAGGCCTGCCGGACGCTTGTCCATGTCACCTATGGGGACAGGCTCTCCCACCCCCTTCTCTAACCACCAAAAGAGGCCAAGGGCAAAGCAGGCAGTATCTGCAGAAAGGGTTATCTCCCTGGAAATCACAATTAAAGCGGATGCCACCCACTGACAGAAGCCACGAGACTCTCCTTCACTCTTTTCTAGCTCTAGGTTCGGTTTTCAACTCCTGGGTCACAATTCTTGAAAAGATCCATCATCTCAGTAAGTTATGCCCAACAATTTTTTTTTTTTTTTACAAAGAAAACACTGGGAGGCATTAGGATTGTCTATCACACTGTGAGCCAGTGAAAATTGTGTTCAAAAGTATATGCATTGTATGGGAGTAGCACATGCAGGAAAGTCATGAGAACTAGGGGCTACAGGGCGTGGAAAGTCAAGTCACATGGCCTCAAGTCATCCACTCCTAGCTTCCATATAATGACGCAACAATGTTTGATCCTAGGCCTCGTATGAGCCTCGTGAAGACTAAGGACGATCAGTCATATGAAGTGAATCATATAGTGATTACAGGAACAAATGACTTTCTTTGAGTCTCACCATGTTTGTCCCTAACCTTGCCCTTCTTTCTGATTTCTGTGGTATGTGTGCACACATGTGTGCATGCTCTTGTGTATACAGGTGTATGCATGTGTGTGGGTATATATGTGTGGAGGCAAAGGGTAGAGGTTAACTTTGGGCACCCTTTTGCAGGCACTGACCACCTTATTTTGTGAGACAGGGTCTCTAATTTGCTCAGCACTCACTGACTGGATTAGGCAGGCTGGCCAGTGAGTCCCAGGGATCAGCTCAACTCCATCTCTCCAAGACTAAGGTTACAAGAACAGGCCATGATGAGTAGATTTTTTTTCACAGGGGCTGCAGGATCAAACTCAAGTCTTCATTCTTGCATACAAGGGCTTTGCTGAATGTGCCATCTCCCTAGCCTCTCTTCTGGTTTTTGTTTGTTTTTTAAATTCTGATTAATAAGCGACATTGCCACCTGTCCAGGAAAATGCATACTGGTAGAATTTTTGACCCACGTTTTACACGTGAGTTGTTCAGGACAGATGGACCTAACATCTTTGAAGACAGAGGGGGCGGGTAACACAGGTACAGTGACCTTTGAACCTATATCCTGCTGTCTTTTTTCCATCAAAACATTTCACTGACATCCTACACAGAATCTAGAAACCCCAGGCACTGTCTTGGTTCCCTCTTCCACTCACTTAACCCCATTTATAGTCACATTCTCCATTTATCCACTCCAAACGATAGGAATCAGAGAGCCCTGGAAACACACAGACAATCCATAGCTCCTTGTCAGTCAGCACACTTGTGATTATTCTAGTCTTTCTCTTTCTTCTACCACATAACCTAAAGAAGTTTCCATACGTCTTGGGGTGTGGGAGAATCCACAGCCAAAAGCAATCTCAAGTGTGAGAACCCACTGAGCAGATCAAGAGGACACTCAGAGGTCGCCTGTCCTCAGTCCATGCCTCCTCCAGGCAGCCCCGTTCACTGGCAACGTTCTTTCGGTCAGATCTAAAGTGTAGCCATGAGTTTTCACCCTTCTCTGCCTATGCGTGTGCTCACACTAATTAATTACTCTGTACTTGTAAGGAGTAATTGAGTGGAACAACACAATGGTTTCAATCCACAGTAAGCAGCCTTGAAATTTTCAAGTCCACTGTGTTTCTAGGCAAACTGAGCAGTCTTCTCCAGTGTCCCCACACTAAGGGCAGGAGGGAAACACTAAAGGCCACAGAGACAGAGGTGACAATGCCACCACCCCCAGAGTGGCCCCAAGCCCTTTTCTCTCTGTGGACTGTTTTCTGACAGAGTGGAAGCGCTTTGTCTCTTCTCACACCTCACCATCCCTGGCTTGCCCACTCCTTTTCTCCTTTCCCTCACATGGAGATGCTGTAGAAACTAAGAGCTTTTCTAGATTCAACAAGGTGTCCCTGAAGTCTTCAACCAAGCCCTTTGCTAGGTCCATAATTTTTCCTCTTTGTCTTTTCAAAGAAGCTGCTTTGAAAAGTACCTGAGATTCAAGATATCACAACGACCCCAGCAAACTGCTTGGTCAAAGCATGCACCTGTCTGCTGTTCTGAAATCCTTCCATTGCCTGGGCTCTGGAATCTCTAATGTCCCTGTGATGATGACTGCCTCCTAGCAGCTTCCTTGACCTAGGCAGAAGCATTAGACTTCCACAGTGTCTCCCAACGGGTCCCAATATAATCACCCTCCTTCTGTCTGGATCTTCACTCTGGTTCAGGACCACAGCCCACACTCTCAAACCACAAGAATGTTGGCCATTTCATTCCTACATTTAAGCAACATATATCAAACATGGCTACTGGCATGTAAGAGTCGATAACACCAAGACACCCTGTTCTTACAGGCCTACACAGTAAACAAGAAGACAGCAAAGAATAATTCCTAAGGTGCTGATGAAGACTGAGCAGGGGAATATGGAGAACTAACTGTAGAACTCTGTGGTGGCATCTCGCTGGCTTGGAGACTGGGGGGAGGGGCTCTTTTCTTTGCAGAACTTTCATTCTCTTGTTGTCATTTCACATCTCTTCCAGTGGCATCATGAGATGCGGCCTTCCCTCCATCTCTGTATCCTGTCGATGTTGGGCTGTATCTTCTCCGATATGGCAGTTGGAGACATGAATAATTACTCAATATTATGTCTTTTAAATAGTCTCAGCTTTCTTATCTCTACTTTCTCTTGCATCCCATCTGCCAACTTCATAACTCTGGATCAAACCAAATGTCTCTTCACCTGGTCGCTAGGCCTTTAAAGCCATGGTTCTCATTTCTAACGCTGCACCCTTTAATTCCTCATGCTGTAGTGACCCCGACCTTAAAATTATTTCCTTGCTATTTCATAACTGTAATTTTGCTACTGTTGTGAATTATAATGTAAATATATGATCTGTAACTTCCACGGAAGTCATGACCCCTATGGAGGGTCACAGCCCACAGTTTGAGAACCACTGCTTTAAAGGGAAAACTCACTCTGTGAATATATAAATATATATATATATTCCAAGTTCAAGAGCTCTGGTTTTGCTTGGACCTGTGACTGCACTGTCTATCCTCTTTGACATTTGGAAGCCACCTTGTCACAATTTCCTGTTCTGCACGGCATCTCCTTCAGACTCCTCCAAGTCTACACAGTCACAAGCCTGTCACCAATCTCCTCTTCGAGACACATGAGAGTAAAATGTAGACTGCATTCACTACTGGCTTATCCATGTGTTACTTCTCTAAGCAAAGATGAATGGCCTACTACAGGTGTCAAGAAGACAAGGCTAACAAGGGACAGGATCCATTCAAATTTTCTTACCTTCTTGTAGCACATGCTTTCTGACTTGTGTTTTAAAATACCACTTTTTCCAATCTCTAAGTTCCCAATAAGGAAATTTTGGAAAATACACAATAGAAAAAAAAAAAAAAAAAAAAAAAGAAAGAAAAAATAAATAAAATTCAAAATTTATCCCACTACCTAGACACAAACACCATTTTTGTCCCCATACACACAGAAATATAGTCATACAAAGAAATGTATGGATACATGTATGTGTATTTTCTTTAAAAATAAAACAGTGATTATACTAAAGATACTACTCTTTATTTTTTATTTTATTTTGGCTTTTTCAGGCAGAGTTTCTCTATGTAATCCCGGCTGACCTGGAACTCACTCTGTAGATCAGGTTGGCCTCCAGCTCAGATATCTGCCTGGTTCTGTCTCTGAGAATTGGGATTAAAGTTGTGCATCACCACAGGTTTCCCAAGGTGTTGCTCTTATAGAGCCTACTCTTTCACTTCATAGAAGTAAGATTTGTGTGTCTACATATTCACTGCACATAAGTATTCATGCATGAGTATACACACACACATAAATGAGGCTGCCTATGAATGAATCTGCCATATAGACAATGCTTCTTTTAAATTCCCTGCTTTCTGCTTTCACTTCTAATTCAGTATTCTTACTTCATTGTTCCATCTCTAATTATCTCTGTTGTCATGGGATTGCCTATCAGGCTGTATATATATATATATATATATATATATATATATATATATATATACTACATATATGTATGTATATGTATATATCACATACACACATATACATACATACATATATATATAGAGAGAGGGGGGGTTTCTATCATTTGTCTTCAACTTTAATAAATTCCACTATCTTTCCCACCCTGTATACTTCCAAACTTTCCATCTGAAAACTCTCTGAGCTCCGGTGCTTAATATACCTGACATCTTCATACCTCTCATTCTCTCATTCAAAGTATTCCACCTTGAAGTAGCAGTTATACTCCACACATGCCTTGCTGACCTCCTCTCTGTCTCGCTTGCCTGATGCAATGACCATTGGTCATGGATGACTTAAGCTCCATAAATGTATAGAAACCCTCCTTTTCCCACTCCCAGAATTTCCCCAGTGTTATTCAGTACTTCTCTTTTAAAAATAATTTATTTTTATTTTATGAGCACTGGTGTTTGGCCTGCATGGATATCTGTGTGAGGGTGTCAGATCCCCTAGAACTTACAGCTACACTGCCACAACTGTTAGAGACAGTTGTGAGCAACCATGTGGGTGGTGGGAATTGAACCTAGGTCCTCTAGATGAGCAGCCAGTGCTCTTTAACAGCTGAGCCATCTCTCCAGCCTCCACTTCAATATTTCTTAATCAAATTAAGGCAAAACTCTTAAACCGGTCTCTCACTTGAATTCAGCTGTCCCCAAATACATTACCCCAGCAGCTGTAACTAAATAAGGAACATAAACTTCAGCTTGGCCTGTGATGTCTCTCATTGCACAGAGGCAAAAATCAAAAACGAAACCAAAGAACTCCAGGAAGAACTTGCTGGCGTCCTTGGCCCCTGAACCCACCTGTCTATAACACATCCGTCCACATCGCTTACGCAGTACCTTTTAGGGTGTCAGACTGCTGTCAGTTCCCACATTTCCATGCCCGCAGGCTACGGTCCCCCTCACAGAGAGTTGCCAATCTGTCAATGTCCTCCTCCCTGGTTCCATGTGAACTTTTTGCTATTAGTTATAATCTGAGTGTTAGCCTGGGACATCTTTGCTAAAAGTCTACCTTGGCCTGATCTCTACTAACCCTGTCTGGGTGCTCTGGCAATCATCGGTCTTCTCTCTGCTGTTGTCAAATTATACTGGGATAATGTCTCTTTTGCTCATCCCCTTAAGTCCTGAACTGGGACCATTGTCATACATCTGTGACTTTATAACAGCACAAAGCATACTGCCTGGATGAGCCAAATGTCTTGTGAAGAAACAAAGGGATAGGATATGCTCCATTGTTTACTTATTGCTTCTATCTAATATCATAACTGCCAAAATTGTGCACGTATGCTTAATTTTTATCTGCATATAATTTCTTTCCATTGGTGAATTGAAAATATGTGATTCTGAGAACAAGATCATCGATCATAAGCCGATGAAGGCACAAGACAAGGGGATACAATTTAAGGACTGCCTCTGAAAGAAAATAATTTTTCAAGAAAGCACTCTGGGTAGCTTGCCTAGTGAATGGCAAGTGTCTCATAGTAAGTTCTGCCACCCTTAAGTTCTTCTGAGTGTTTTGATTGTGACAGACACTGTGTACTGTTTACTAGAGGCTTTGCTAATGTGAGAGTGATAAAAACCTATGAATAAAACACTGCTTATCAGAATCGCCCCATCATAGACCTCGTTCAGACGAGAGTCAGCTTTGAGGGAACTACATCTCTTTAGGATGTCTTTAGCTGTCAAATTTTGCCCACACAAACTTCTATGACTGGAAAAATGATACAGATAACAATAGGAGAAGCGCCATTCACAAATAAAGGTGATTTAAGAATGGAGAACAAAAGTCCTTTGATCTTCTTTGGACGCCACCGTTATTTGCAAATACCACACAGGGACTACAAACTTGAGAACTGTTCTTTTGCGATTGGGAGGAGACCTATGATTTACATTTGTACCTGTGAATATTCATGCACCTACATGAACACATACTCTCATATAATAAACTCAGAAATACAATGCTTGGTGCGAACTGGAAAAGCTCGCTTTCATTTCTTACCTGAACCTGAGAAACTGTCTAAAGACCCGTCTGCTGCTGTCGAAGCAATTTCACTGCTGTTCATTGGCTCTGTTTTAACTACGGAAGTAAACACACATCGCACACGGAATTAGTAGTCGTTTGTAAAGGTGCAGGAGAGAAAATGTAACGTCCTAAACAATGTTGCTACTAGATTCTCTTTTGAAAAATTCGCATGTTAAATCTGGTTTCTATAAGAAAGTCCTTCTTCTGTTACAAATTACCCTTTACATCCATGGTTCTCTCTCAACATTAATGCTGTAGCCCTTTAATATAATTCTTCATGTGGTGACCACCAACCATAAAATTATTTTGTTGACACTTCATAACTGTAATTTTGCTACTAGTATGCAATGTATTGTAAATATCTGATTTGCAGGACATCTGATATGCTACCTGGACCCACAGGCCAACTATCACTGTTTTAAAGGAAGAATTAACAAACTAGTTAAAATTCATTTTCAGTATCTAGCCACTAATTTGCTCATTAGTAAAAATATTACTTCCAATATACAATGTGTAATTACTTATTAGTGTTTGTCGAAAATCTGTCATTTAGTTAAGCAATCAGAAGGAAAATTTAAAAGGGTTTCAAGAAGCAAGAAATAAGTGCCCATCCTTAAGATCAATTGATTCCATAGTAATTGAGAACAAGTATGTGAATATTCACATATTACACACACACACACACACACACACACACACACTTCCTTAGATATCTAGTATGGTGTGGATACAACCTTAAGCCAATGAATTCCTATTACCAAGGCATTTCAGATGGACAATTCATCAATATTTTTTGTACAATGAAGAAAAGAGGAATTTTTCCATTTAAAAATAATATTAACAGAAGATAGTGGGAGGAGAAAAATATGTAAACATAATATGTATGTATATCTAATCTTTGACAAAGTTCCTAAGGGTTGAGACATTCCATTCTGATTCAGGCCATAGGATGTCCACTAAACCTACTTCCAACAGAATGACAGAATCACCGTATACCACCAAACAGAACTCAGAGCACCTGCCTTTTCCCTCCCTAGTTTTATAATCCTTTTTCTGGAATGCTATTACAGACATGTTCCTAACCTCTGTGTGTGTGTGTGTGTGTGTGTGTGTGTGTGTATCTGGAGGTGACTTATTCTCTATTTTCAGGTTTTCGGGGTGGGGGGAAAGGGGAAAATATACTAACATTCTAAAGTCAACCTGAAATCTATGTTCCCTGAAGTGAAAGTTCTGACCACAGAGTATTCAGGGAGAGAGGCTCCTCCCTCAAAGTAAGAACATTCTGGAATGGGAGAGATGACAGAGAAAACAGCTCTTCTGTCTCAATGTCATCAATCTCTCCCAAACACCAGGCAGAAGACTCATCCAGCTCAGGCTCTGGCCCTAAGCGTTTGCACACATATGATGAGTGGTTTTCCCATGAGTACTGTAAGGAGATGGATCACACCGTCATTTAAAAAATTAATTACTCCGATGGCTTCTAAACAAAGTTGGGGAGAAAAGAGAAAATGAAAGAAAGAAAACCCACCGAGACAAATGGAAATCATTTTGCCTGATTGTTTTCATGTAGACCACACAACACTGAGACTCAAGTTTTCACTTTTCTGCCAGTTGCTTTGGGTTAGAAGTCTTAGCTGATGCTAATACACTCTGACAGAAGTCTGACTTTCCCTTCTATCCCTGCCCCTTTGCCCCCAGCCACCTAATGCTCTTGCTCTTCATAACCACGACATGGTCACAGCTGTAGGGAAGAAACTGCAAGGGGCTCTCATGCTCAAGATGACCACATTATATATACTTCACGTTCCTTTAAAGACCTGGCACAGTGCCCTCAGCAGGTCACCCATTTGCTCTAGTCCACTTTCTAGACTGAGCACTAGTGGGATGCTGAACTCCGAATCAAACACCACGTGCTGAGACCATGGGTAGAATGGGGTAAAATGGAAAGTGACCATGTAACACTCATATTATGGGTGGGCTTCTTCATGGATGTTATCATCACATGGGGACCTCTGCGAGGTCCCTGAAACTCCTTAGTCAGGCATTACCTCACTGTCTCTCCCACATATAAAAACTGAAACTGAAGAGGCCAGGAAGCATCCAAACACGGGATTTCATCTGGGGAGTTCCTTTATTCCCAGGCCCATGACCAAAGCTTGATGAAACGGTAATAAGTAAGTAAGTAGCACTTTGCAAAAGTTAATGCTGGAAAAAGGCAGCTGAGGCTTGGCGCCACCAGCTGTGATTTGATTAGAAAATATGACTCTGCCAGTTCTGCCCTTGGAGCTTCCAGACCACTGAGATTACTGGATGATCTCAAGTAGCAACTCCCTGCCCTGATGTCAAGAAAGGATGAAGAAGAACTCTTCCACTGCCTACAATTTCAGTCCAAATTCCTTCTAAGTCTGCCAAATCTAAGGTCAATGACGCTATAGCTTGAACTATACAATTACTCTGAGAAAGTTTACCTACAACAAAACCCCTTCTATCTTTGCTCCCCTGAAATCTACATCCCTGCAAGATCAAGCTCAATCAAAAGCAACTCTCACTCCCAACCAACCAGGAACTTCAATTGTTCATGAAATCCATTAAAAGTAGGCAAAAAAGAAAGGAAAGGAAGACGATACTCTCTTTTAGGTCCCAAGATCATTGCCTTTTGCTGTTGTTCAATACAGCCATCTATACGCTATGAACTACAGAGTCCCTCCAAATCTGGTTTTTGAAAAGGCTCTCTGTTTTAGAGAGATGTCCACAAAGTAACTACCAGGATGTGCAAGATTATATCAGTCCTGTAATCAAATACTTTGATCAACAGAGGCTTAATGATCTACTGTGATGTAAGATAGTCTCCTAGGGGCTGGGGAGATGGCTTGCTGGCTAAGGCACTTGCTGTGTAGGTATGAATACCTGAGTTCATTTCTCCAGGACACAAGTAGTAAAAACTGGGCGTGGTGACAAACACCTATAATCTCAGTGGTGGAGGAGAAGGAAGACAGATGGAACCCAAGGGCTCTCTAGCCAGCCCATAGCCTAAAAAGGGAACCTCTGGCTTAGCAAGAGACCCTGCCTCAAAACGCGAGGTGGAGAGAAATAGAAGAAGACAATGCATGCACGAACGCACGCACGCACACACACACATACGTTCATGAAGGATAACTTCCTTTCCAAAAAAAGACAAGACTAAATATTTCTGGCTTTGTTGTAGCCAACTATACACTGCCTGAAGAATTAAAAAGACAAAAGCAGTATGTGCCCACCAGAATCTGACCTGGTCCATCTTAGTTGGGTAAACACACACACACAGCAATAGGCTGCAAGTGACATAACAAAGCATCTCTCCGAACTTTAAATTTTCAAGTACCACATGCTGACTTTCTTCCGAAAGACACTGTGACATTTGAGGACAGCTCTCCTATCTAAGATTCCTGACTAGAGGGCAAAATCCTATAAATAATTTTCCCTAACTATAGGATTATGCGCCCCCATACCATTCTTTTGTTATATGACCCCAGTTTGTTACAAAGTAGCACTTTTATTTCTTCTTGTTGACTCTCCTGCATCTCTTCTTTCCCCCAGTTTTGGGTTCTGGCCTGCCCTTTGACCCTGGCCAACTGTGTGTCAGAGATATCCTTTAAGACATTCAGAGACTCTGTCACGTGACCACGCACTCCGGACCTCAGCCATCCCGGACCTACTCTTATTAGATGTTCCACAAACTTCCACCTACTAATTCCTTTGAGCATCACTGTTGAGGTCAGATGACCTGATCCCCTGTGGCTGGCCTTGCTACAGTTTAGCTCTTTGGTTCCGATCCTCTTTTTACATGATGCTTTTACATTATAGATGTCACTGAATTGTAATAGACGTTCACAGGATGTTCTGTGAAAGATCTGGTATCAAGAAGGAGGGTGAGGCAGGGTCCATCTCCATCACTGGTAGCGCACACTAGCAGCAGTACTCAGAATTAAAGTCACAACCCATTACTAACGGTGCTTCAATGCCAAAAGTGTAAACCTAGAACAAGGCACTCCATTTTGTTTATCTCAGTTTTTTCATCTGTAGTGGTATCGTATACTCAGATGATAATATAAAATAAATAAAGATCATAACCATTTCAGCAGTGCGCTATGTCCAGAACCCACCATTTTAACCATGCTCTGTCTAGATCCAGAGCCCATACTTTTATAAAAACTCTTCCTCTTTTTGCAACATCTCTGGAAGCATGAGAAATCAGAATCTCTGTTCCACTGGTTGAGTTGCATGCTGGGAAAATACTCTGCCACTGAACTACATCCCTGGCTCCAAAATCATTGTTTTTAAAAGTACAGATAACAATGTTAAAAATCTATCAGAAGTCCCACATTAAAGTCAAGCTTACCCTTCTAAAAGAAATGGAAGGATCTAAAGAGAAAAATCAACCCTTGAAGCCTTACCTAAGGGAAGCCAAAATCAAATCAAGCAAGGTATCTTGGGAATAGTTCAAGAAGGCGGGACTAAATCACGATTACATTAAGACAACTAGTGCCTCGGCTAGTACCATCATCAGTGTAAGCTTTTTCTGAAGGATCGGGTCAGCAGAAGAAAGATGGCGCACGAGGTAGCAGTGATCAGAAATTTCAGAATACACGTAGAAGTTCTAGCATTCTTTATAGTAAGCTGATCTATAAAAACAAGAAAGCCTCTTTCGATACTGTAAATGGAGACTTGCCTATCAGACCACTGCAGCCTGGGGAGATCCGCTATGACAATCAGCCAATTAGCCTCTGGCACCGTAATCCCATGTTCATCAACTTCTGGATGAACTTTAAATGTTATGGTCATGAAAACACATCTCCAAACTTAGAGGGCAATCAGAGAAGTGCTCAAGCCGTTTGATGAGTGATACTTCTCCCATGTATTAATAAAATTGTAGCTCTGTTTGCTGGACCGAGAGCCAGTGTGTACGCTGATGAGTTTTCCCAGAAAGGCAGCAGGCTGGTTGAGGAGCAGTTAGTCTCCTCCCCACTCCCAGGCCAGAATCTAAGCTCATCTCACAGTTCTTTGGCTGGCATAAG